GAATATGCAGTTCAGCTTTGGACAACAGTTCAAAAAAAGGATATCAGAGAACTGGAGAAAGTGCACAGAAAGGGCAACCAAACTGATATGGAAAAATATTAGCTTAACTTAATTTATTCTCTCTTGAGAAAAGGAGCCTAAGGGGGGATTTGATCAAAATGTATAAATACATACGTACTCTATATAGTGAACTTGGTGTGGAGGTATTCACATTCAGGTCATTACAACAAGGGAGCACTTTTTACCTCTAAAGGAAAATAGATTTAACCTTCACATATGGGAAGGCTTCTTCACAGTAAGAGCTGTGAAACTGTGAAATAGATTCCCTCAAGAACTGCCAGGGGTAGTTGATCCAGAGAATATCCAATTGCCTCCTGGGGTATTAGGAAGGAAATAAATATTTACCCCTACTGGAGTGAATTGATCATGCTTTATTGAGGTTTTTTACTCCCTCTGGACCAAACATGGGTATATAGGACACTGTATATGGAGTTTTTCCATTTCTGTGTTTTTTTTTTTATTGGCTGAACTAAATGGGTTAGTGTTTGTTTTTCAACCTAATTATGTAACTATGACTTAGGAGGTGCAAAAGAGTAACCATTTGTACAATATACTTGTACCTTCTGATTTGTAGTATTACTGTTCTTTGATGTTGAATTTACGTGAATTACAATTACATTGTTTTGATGTCCTGTCCACAAAATATCTGCAATTTCAAATCCTTACACAGATTACAGTGGGCTAAAAAGATTCAGCATTTTGATATGGTTCTTATGGGAATATAAAAAAAGATTTTGATTTTATATACTCTTAAAAAACAAGTATTCTCTACAATACCATTTTTCTCTTGTACCCAAAGTCAATTTTTTTTTTTTTTTGTATAATTATTCCAAACAAAAGTCTGTCTAGTCTCTGTTTTAGTTACGGCATGATTAGTAGAAGTAGGATGAGAGTAGGGTAGCATATGGGTTTCATATTGGTTTATTTTTTTCTCTTCTTATTTGTCTTAAAGTGTTTCTAAACCCAAGACCCTGCATTCACTATATCAGGTCTCCCACAAAACTTGGAAGTGCACTTATTTTAGTAAATATAAACTGCTAAATACACACCTCCATAGACACACAGGTCAGCAATGAACATGCAGCATTGGTCCCCATAGCAAATACCGTATTTTTCGCTCCATAAGACGCACCTGACCATAAGACGCACCTAGGTTTTAGAGGCAGAAAATAAGAAAAAAAATATTCTGAACCAATGGACTGCAGACATAGTACAGGAGATGACCAGAGACTGCAGACATAGTTCAGGAGATGACCAGAGACTGCGGACATAGTACAGGAGATGACCAGAGACTGCGGACACAGTACAGAAAATGACCAGAGACTGCAGACATAATACAAGAGATGACCAGAGACTGCAGACATAGTACAGGAGATGACCAGAGACTGCGGACATAGTACAGGAGATGACCAGAGACTGCGGATACAGTACAGAAAATGACCAGAGACTGCAGACATAATACAAGAGATGACCAGAGACTGCAGACATAGTACAGGAGATGACCAGAGACTGCGGACAGTACAGGAGATGACCAGAGACTGTGGACATAGTACAGGAGATGACCAGAGACTGCGGACACAGTACAGAAGTTTGACCAGAGACTGCGGACACAGTACAGGAGATGACCAGAGACTGCGGACACAGTACAGGAGATGACCAGAGACTGCGGACACAGTACAAGAGATGACCAGAGACTACGGAAACAGTACAGAAGTTTGACCAGAGACTGCGGACACAGTACAGGAGATGACCAGAGACTGCGGACAGTATAGGGGATGACCAGAGACTGCGGACAGTACAGGGGATGACCAGAGACTGCAGACAGTACAGGGGATGACCAGAGACTGCAGACAGTACAGGGGATGACGAGAGACTGCAGACAGTGCAGGGAATGACCAGAGACTGCAGAGATAGTTCAGGAGATGACCAGAGACTGCGAACATAGTACAGGAGATGACCAGAGACTGCGGACACAGTACAGAAAATGACCAGAGACTGCAGACATAATACAAGAGATGACCAGGAACTGCAGACATAGTACAGGAGATGACCAGAGACTGCGGACAGTACAGGAGATGACCAGAGACTGTGGACATAGTACAGTAGATGACCAGAGACTGCGGACACAGTACAGACGTTTGACCAGAGACTGCGGACACAGTACAGGAGATGACCAGAGACTGCAGACACAGTACAGGAGATGACCAGAGACTGCGGACACAGTACAAGAGATGCCCAGAGACTACGGAAACAGTACAGAAGTTTGACCAGAGACTGCGGACACAGTACAGGAGATGACCAGAGACTGCGGACAGTATAGGGGATGACCAGAGACTGCGGACAGTACAGGGGATGACCAGAGACTGCGGACAGTACAGGGGATGACCAGAGACTGCAGACAGTACAGGGGATGACCAGAGACTGCAGACAGTACAGGGGATGACCAGAGACTGCAGACAGTGCAGGGAATGACCAGAGACTGCGGACAGTACAGGGGAAGACCAGAGACTGCAGACAGTACAGGGGATGACCAGAGACTGCAGACAGTACAGGAGATGACTAAGAGACTGCAGACAGTACAAGGATGACCAGAGACTGCGGACAGTACAGGGGATGACTAAGAGACTGCTGACCTTTGGGAAGGGAGGGGGAGCGGGTACACAGGTACCCGCTCCCACTTCTGCGGAGTTGTCCTCCCTTTAGTGTGGGCAACAGGCATTGCGCTTTGTGATTGGTCCGACGCCTTCTGGGACCTGTCATGTGTCCCAGAAGACACCGTGCGCACTGGGCACCCGGTTATCAAGCCGAGATCCTACACTAAAGAAGCCAGTGTGGGAAGACTGTGCAGCGCTGGACCGAGGAACAGGTAAGGTCCTGCTGCAGAGCTGAGCGGCCGGCCCGGTATTCTGACATGGCGGCGGTGGAAATACCGGACCGGCCGCTCCATATTCGCTCCATAAGATGCACTGACATTTCCCCCCCTTTTTTTGGGGGAAAAAAGTGCGTCTTATGGAGCGAAAAATACGGTAGTTTGCTATGGGGACACACAAAGAAGAGGAGGAGCCAGGATTTCCGGCATTGGACCCTAGAAGAGGATGATCAGGTCCACTCTTTGAAATACCACTTCACAGAGAAGGTGAGTATAACATGTTTGTTATTTTCATTTATAAAAAATTGCCTTTAGTAACACTTTAAAACTAAAAAACAAAAATGTAATATACTGCAGCCTACCACTCCTTAAATGTGGTGGCTAGCTTTCTAGCAAGAACAGAAAATATTTGATTAAGTTGATCTTAACGAAAATACTCTGCCTCCTCTTGGGAGCAGAAAGGAAAGAACAAAGAACCTTATCTTTACTGCATAAACTACTAGTCCCATCAATCCATCATGTAATGGAGATGAACAAGTCAGATAGGACAACCATGGCTCCCTTTGTGCATACAATGGAGACAGAAGTATAGACATAAACCGAGAGGAAGTATTTTTTTTTTGCCCGAGTGTGCTTCTAAAATAATTCACAGGTAATATTGAAATTGGATTCATAAGTAACTTCACAAGTTCCCATGAAAACATTCCTAAAATTTTACAACATGCAGCAACAATATAGTATATTTTTTCATAAAATCAGTTCTTGAACTTCAGTCAAGTGACTTTGTCTAGGCTGAGATCCTGTCTTCAGTTTTTTTCAGGTAGGAGGAAGCATTTTCTCAGTCCTCTATTCCCGAGTAATCAGTCAAGATAAGAGACTTAAGCAGGGGATGATAAAACATTTCTGAATGCACCCAAGAACTGCAAATGCACAATGATTTATATGACTGTCTCATCTGCGAGCAAGCATAGGAAGCAGATGCTGACCCTGCAGTTTGCTGCAGCATTTCTTTAGTTTCTTCTATCCTAGACATTGCCTAGAGTTACCTGTAATCATGATTTTGACAACTACGGAAAGGATTTTGGAAAAGGTTTTAAAAATAAATGCTGACACTGAATGAGACCTGCACAAAGATGGCACTAGCCTTTTGGGTAGAAAGGAGTATAAATCAAATGTTACACTTATATATAACTTAGCATGCATGCACTTAGTATAAAATATATATCTCATGCTGGTCAGCTTTAAATCTTCTTCAAATAGCAAAGTTTAACAGAGAAGTCTCTAGTTGTTACAGATGCATAAAATTGTAAAATTCTTCCTTTTATGGTGGAATAGTGCTGATGTGAAGTATTTTTAGAACTGATCTAACATGATTAATTAAATAACCTTGTTATAGTTAGAAATTAATTTTAAAAAAATCATTTTTACTTGTCTTACCACCCTGTTTTGCCAAAATATTCTCTCTAATTAATTGTTTATACACTGTTAGCTGCTACAGTGGATGCAGCAAACAGCTGATTATCAAATTATTTTTTCTTAAATATTAAAACAAAGTAAGGTATATTTCTAATGAGAAGTCTTGTACTATTTTTGCAAACACAAAACCCTATCTAAATTAATCGGCCTCCATAGATGACTCATATGAAGCTTCATTTTGCATTTCTATATTGTGCTCACTATCCATTTACTGTTACTTTTCTTTGATTTGTGATCTAAATTAACATTAATACCCTGTCTTGTAACCACCAAAATATTTTCAAAATTGTGCCACACTATTTGTAATTATGTACATTTTTGCTCTATGTAACAGGGCCGGATCTAGCCTGTCTGATGTGGGGGTGCAGTAAAAAATGTCAGGGCGGCAGAGGATGCAAGGTCAATAGGGCAGTGTATGGAAATCAGTAGGGCAGTGTACAGAGGGGCCAGCAGGGTAGAGCGATAGGGTCAGAAGTGTGTAGGGCAGAGTACATAGGCCATTAGTTTGTAGGGCAGTTTACAGCAGGTTATCAAGGCAGTATACAGAGGTTAGCAGGGCAGTGTACAGGGGGTCAGCAGGACAGTGGATGAGAGGTCAGTAGGGGAGTGTACAAGAGTCAGTAGGGCAGTGTACAGGAGGTCAGTAGGACACAGAATAGGGGTCAGCAGGGCAGAGGATGGGAGTACAGCAGAGGAGTGTACAAGAGTCAGTGGGACAGTATATAGGGGTTCAGTAGGGCACAGAATAGGGATCAGTGGAGCAGAGGATGGGAGGTCAGCAGGGAAGTGTACAAGAGTCAAGCAGTATACAGGGGATCAGTAAGGCAGAAGATAGGGGTCCATAGCTGGGTAAAGGACAGGCGTCAACAGAGGAGATGATAGGGGTCAGTAGAGGAGAACAGGGGTTATCAGGGCAAATACAGGGCAGTAGGGCAGAAGAAAGAGGATCAGCAGGGCAGGGAAAAGGGGGTCAGCTGGGCAGAGGACAGTGGTTATAAGGGCAGTGTACAGGGGTCAGCAGGATGGAGGATACGGGTCAGCAGGGCAGGGTACAGAGGGTCAGCAGGGTAGAAGACAGGGTTCAGGGGAGTAGAGGACAGGGTCAGAACTGCAACATAGAAGCCAGCTATACACTGTAGATTGAGGATGTGTCTGTAAGGGAATACAATCTCAGCTATGAGCTGTGTAGGGAGGATGAGATCTATTGACTGCCCCGTGTGGGTGATGCTGGCAGTGCCAGGACAAAGTCATCTAGCTCCCAGGGCAAAGATGACAAACTAAGCCCCCAGCATGTGTGAGCATCCTGTTTTAGCATAATACCCTCCCCCTAAAAAAAAAGCACTAATCAACATGCTCCCCCCCAGGCACAAATTCTGTCTGCAATTTAAATTTCTCCCCCCCCAAAAATGCAAAAATTTCCCCTCCTCCCAATATAAACTCCCCTCCCTGCACAAATTCTTTTCCCCCCCAATCCCACCTTCAATTTCCCCAATTCCCCCCTCTTAGCACAAATCTCCCTCACCCCAAAAAAATCACCCCTCCATGCAAACATTCACTTCCCCTTCAAATTTCCCATCCTAGCGCCAATCTCCACAAAAGTCTTCTTCTCAGCATAAATCTCCCCCATCCCCCCTTCTAGCACAAATCCCCCTCCTAGCATAAATTCTCCCCCAGCCCCCCCCCCCCCCCTTAGTCCAAATGCCCTCACCATCTCCTAGCACAAATTCGCCCAATCTCTCCTCCTAGCACAAATTCCTCCAATCCCCCTTTCTAGCACAAATGCCCTCCCACATCCCCTTCTTGCACAAATCCCCCCTATAATTACCCCTCCTAGTACAAACCTCCCTGCTAATCCCCACTCCTAGCACAAATTCCCCCAATCTCCCCTTCTAGCACAAATCCCCCCCTGCTAATCCTCCCTCCCTATGACATATTCTCCTAAATTCCTCCTCCTAGCACAACCCCCTCCAAAGAACCCTTCCCAGCACAGATCATCTCCTTTTCCATATCCTCTGCTCCCTCCTAGCCCAAATCCCCAACCCCTTCTTAGCCCAAATCCCCTTCCCCCTCTTAGCCCAAATCCTACACCCCTTATAGCCCAAATCCCTTGCCCCCTCTTAGCACAAATAGGCACAAAAATTCCCCCCAAGCCCTCTCCTGGCTCAAATCCCCCTTTCCTTCGCCTAGCAGAAACCCCCCAAACCCAACAAATGATTGTATCCCCCCACACCTCTTCGTTATTATGTACAATTCACCTGTAAGCTGCCCCACCCCCATCCTCCCAACTTACAATCCAGAGGTTTGGGCTGTGCTGTGTTCTGCCCTCTCCTCCTGTCAGAACAACGCTGCTATGAATAGCTGATGATACAGGATCTCCGACCATAGGGCTGTACACAGTTTCATTACCCGCCCCCTATCCACAATTCCTGCTGCTGGGAAATGAGCGGTCCTTGGAGGAGATAGGGGTGGGTAATTAAACTGTGTACATCCCGATGGTCTGAGCGATCCTGTATCATCAGCTATTCACAGCAGCGCTGATCTGACAGGAGGAGGAGGCAGAGCTCAGCATAGCTCCTCCAGGCTCTCTCTTTTGTGTCACTTTCTGGGCTTAACTGCTCCAGGCTCCCTTTCCCTTGTCCCAGCTCTGAGTGAGGGGATGGGGGGAATGAGCTCAGCAGTCTGCGGGGCACAAATGAAATCTGGGAGGCACAGCCAACCCAGTACTCCCCCCCTAATCTGGCCATGAAATGTAAGGACAAACATTATATGTAATATACAGATATTGAAAAACATAATGCAACCTATACACATTGGGCATTTGCTATGTAAACCAGTAGTGTTTCTGCCATTGGGCTAGTATACAAATATTGAGGCTAACCTACTAAAGAATTGGAGAATGTTCACTTAGTAAATTGTCGGAATATTCACTTCAATTATCCAATTATGTGGAAAAAAATCCTATTTACTTATTTCTTATAAAAATAAATATGCAGCGCTAAGAAAGCATATATTCTAAAAAAATTATGATCATATAAACATAAAATGCAGGTGAGCGCTGATGTTGGCGCAAAAATAGTGCAGTGATGACCTCGTCTATGAGCGACGCTTTAATAAAGTATATACCAAATGATAAGGTGACAGTGATGGTGAGTCCAATCACAAAATAACAAAGTTCATAATGCGAAGTGATCTGGTACAATAATGCACTTACCAGAAGTACATATAATATAGGCATTATATGTATATCCTAATATTGGTGTCATCCAGGTCTGGTCTAGGGCTGTGGGGTCATCCGGCTCAGCAGTGGACTCTCAAGATGATGCAACTCACACTCGGGGGTCTCACTCCACTCACAGACTCGTCAAGACAGCTCTACGTACCGGTTACACATTCCCAGATGGCTCCACCTTAAGAGGCTCGCAATAAACAAGCCAGCCAGCTTGTGAAACAACCAATTTGGTCCTGTCTAACAGTATGTGTTAAAAACAGAGTGTTTTGTTTGCACACATTTGCAAATACATGCGTAAGCACACTCCCATGGGAAGGGTCCTCTGTATACTGTGGACCTAACTAAAATTTCCAATGTTTTAGACAGGACCAAATTGGTTGTTTCACAAGCTGGCTGGCTTGGTCATTGCAAGCCTCGTAAGGTGGAGCCATCTGGGAATGTATAACCGGTACGTAGAGCTGTCTTGACGAGTCTGTGAGCGGAGTGAGACCCCCGAGTGTGAGTTGCATCATCTTGAGAGTCTATGGTCAGTCTGAGTCTTTATTAGTTTTAATTTTAGTATGGGGAGGTTTTCCAATTTAAAAGCCAATAGTGTAAGAGTGCCTATGTGACATATGTATAGCATTTAAGCTGATATCTAAGGAAACAGCTAAATACACAGTTGACATACATGTATGAGAGCTGTTTCATCCTTCAAAGAATTTGTCTTTTTGTTTATGCAGTTGAATGATTAATTCACCTGCCTAGCTGTGGACCTGACTTTTCTCCACCTCAATTAAGCAGTACAGCTTGGTCACTTTCCTGCAAGCGACCTGTGATTGAACACTGAAAGACCTTCAACAGACTGACAGGGTCATCCCTTTGCTTTGACTTCTTGACAGTTCTTGTGGAATCAAAAAGGTAATTAATTGCCTTGACTGAGCGTATGTGATGCACACTGGTGCTTTCTTATAATCAAAGCTTCTGTCATATTTGTCTCATTCCCATCAGAATTTTTTTTGTGATCTGTGATGGAAGTGAGACATGCATATACTATATCTTCTGTTTTATGAATTGTGCTTCATGCTGGTTTAGTGGAGAGCTGGTTATATTTCTCAAAGCCTTGTTCAGTAAATACTTCTTTAATATTGTGCTGTACCTGTGCTATAGACCAGCAGTACAGGATGCTCAGTTGGATCAGGGACATAAAGGAATGATTTGCATGATGTGTCTACAATCCTAAAAATGGGAATAACACCTTATTTTGGGAATTTAAGTTGGAAGTGAGACATGCAGTTACTTTATGATTTTTAAATAAATACAGTACATAACCACATTAATCAGTGTTTCCTTATATCTGCCAAAGGTTTGGCTGTAAATCCCCATAAACATGATGATAATATTGGACAAATTATCATCCGTTTTTTTTTTGCACGCTAGTCTCATATCGAAAGTGAAGAGGTTACCAAAGTTATGAAAATTCCTGTACGACAGAATAAAAATTCAGAAGTGATGTAATGTAATTGTATTGTATTTTCAGATGAAAACTGTTCTGATCAAACAAGAATAGTACGATCTGGTATCATATAAGAAAAATGTTTGTGCTTGTACCTTCAGTCAATTTAGGACGCTGTGTACTAACGATCAGATTATCGTACGATTGCTTTGAAAGCGGTATTTTTCGTATGATTTTCTGATTGTGTGTACTAGGTTTAAAACTGGAAAATTATGCCTATTACTTCTGGTCTCTAAGTGATGCTTATTTCTCAATTTGAGACACATAGACACAGGTGAAAAACCAAGAGCTGCATACTTAGTAAGAACTCGGTGCCCTCTGTACAAGACACTAAAGCAGAATCTGCAAGCATTGGATTACAGTAGATGTTATTGTTGATTTCTTTTAAAAGGTGCATGCTCTGTTAACCTAAATCTAACTTTTTGTCACAGACCCAGAACAAACATGCAGGATAGAAGTTCCAACACTTCTGCGCTAGTGCCATGTCGGTGTCCAGCTCCAGTGAAAATTTTTTTTTTTGGATAGCGCAAAAGATAGATTCTCTGTCAAGTTTTTATACCTGCCTGTGTCCCCATTGGGAAGATGTCCCCTTACTTTCTTTTTAGCAAAACAAGAAAAAGAGGAAATTGACAGCACCAGGATAGAAAGACAAAGGCAGCAATAATAACCTGACAGAGGTTCTGATCCTTCCCAAATCTACATATGAAAAATTATTAATTATTTTCTTTCGCTGTGACACCTTGACAGTAGGATAGGTAGTTTAGGAAAGTCTAGCCAATAGGGATATCATCAACAATTAAAAACTGACAGACATTCAAGCTATTTCCCATTATGTCAAAACTAAAGAACACATCTGGCTCGATTTCCTTTCTTCACATGTTTCTACTTGCAACACATTTCATGAGTAGTTTTCTTTTGAAATAAGTTCTTGGATTCTCAGTACTGTTGATGAGGAATGTTTTCATAGTTCTGGATAGTTTGAGAACCTCCACATATTCCTAGTGGAAATCACGAAAATGGACAGCCTTATTAACTAATAGGAATGTTTATGGAGGTAGGAAGGGATGGGAAAACTTTGGCACCAGCAGTAAGTACCAAAACTATGCCTAGTAGAATGGCCTGAGATTCGGCCATGAAAGGAAGGCTTAGAAGACTGCTGCAGGTATGTACTTCACCTGTAGGGCACTACACTTTATACTGGTTTGCAGCAGTGACAGTTTCTTTGAAGATGAGGCAGTGGAAAAGGAAGCAATCTTTTAAACTATATTTGTCTGGAAGCCCCTGAAGAAGTTGGGATCCTGAGCTTAGT